AAAAAAAAAAAAAAAAAAAAAAAAAAGTGGGGGAGGGGGGTTGGAAAGTGAAATCTCTGCTGAGAGCAGATAGTAAAGAATGTTGATGCAGGCTTATGGCAAAGAATACCTTCTTGGATGTGTTCTAAGATAAAAAACAAAAGCAAAAAGTACAGAAAAAAAATAGAAGAGATCTTTACTCCCCAGGCTCCTACAGCTCTTGCTCCTTTTTTTTTTTTTAAGAGAAACAAAAACAAAACACAGACCTGCTATTAGCAAAAAGAACAAGAACTTAAGATTCAAAAGTACTGTTATGTAAACAAGGATCTGGGGATGCGGCTCTGTCGGCAGTGTTGACTCGATCCTAGCACCGCAGGAAACAGGCATGGTGGCACACACCTGTAATCCTAGGACTAAGGCACAGGCCACTGCACACAAGTGCACAAACATGTGCACACACAAACATGCAAATAATATAACTCTTTAAAAACAAGTTCAGGGTCATCTACTGCCACAGACCTGGAATACCTGGGACTCTGTCAAAACAACAGCAAACCCCACCCTTGCAGATTTAATACCCCCGCCCCCCCCTCGTCCATGCTATACTGGAGCAGGATTGATCATAACTCAGCAAAATGATCCATGTCACCTGTAATATCTGCATTCAAAAGTGGAGGCCGGGGCAGGAGGATTTTAAGTTTAAGAACAGACTGGCCTAGTATCAAGACCCTGTCTCAAAATAAAGCAAGAGGAAGAAAAGAGGGGAGGAAAAAGCAAACCTGTAGGCACAGAGGGAACTTAGCGATGTGAAGAAACAGATGGTCCAGCATGAGAAATGAGCATGAGACCAGGTGATCAATCTACAAGCAAGGGCAGGCCTGACGAAATCCTTCCTGCAGCCTTCACAGGGAACCAGCCCTACCAACCTCCTTCTGGGCTACTAGCCTCCAGAACTATGTGAGCTTCTGTTGTTTTTGCCACCCACTCTGTGGCACGGAAACCCCAGGAAACTTATACTAATATCTCCTTTGATTAGCCAGGATATAACAGAGACAGACAGTACCGGCAAGAGACCTGGGGTTAATGCCAACTTAGGACTAAACGTGGTTATACGATCATATCCAAATGGATCTATCAGGCCTCAAGCACAGCTTCACAAAGTTCATCAAACTAAATAGAAGTAAAATGTCTAGGTTCGGGCATGATTTCCTGTGACCTGTAACTGTGTTTCTATTGTCTCACATAGACCTTATGTTTGTCTGTTTCATGGAAGATACTGCGCTGTCATAGTGGAATTCTCAAATGTTGCTTGAGCTCATCCATCAGTACTATAGTTTAGGTTCTGGTCATTTCTCACCTGGCATTAGGATGAGCCATCTCAAATTGATGGCTCCAGGCCAGCCGTGTGCCTCCCTGGATAAAGAAACTTGCTGCATGCCTGGCAACCTGTGTTTGCTTCCCAGAATCCATGTAAAGATGGAAGGAGAGAACCAACTCCACAAAATTGTCCTCCTCTGACTTGCACACACATGCTGTGGCACCTGCACTTTCACATATCATGTGCACGTGTACAATCACACACACACACACACACACACAAATTTATCACCTTTGGCCATTGTGGCCTAAAAGTGGTGATTCTATATAATTCAGCTTACTAATTTTCTAACAAGCCTCCCTGCTTCATCCTTGACTTCTTCATCCACCATAGCTCCAAACACCCTTCCAACCCCACCCTTAAAGGCAAATCTGATAATGTCTGCTTAAAACCCTTCAGAGTTTCTACACGTCTGTCTATCAAGATCAGACTTTTCAGCTCAAAAGCCGAGGTCCTCTTGGGCATTGAGTTTTTGGGGTTTTTTTTTTTTTTTGGCATGCATCAGTGTGTGGGTGTGTGCACGAGAATGTGTAGTTTGAGATAGGGTTCCATGTATCCCAAACTGGCCTCCTACCTGCTGCGTAGCTGGGGATAACCTTGAACTTCTGATCCTTCTGCTTCTGTCTCCTAGTGTTGGGATTACAGACATGTGCTACTACTATGTCTGATTTCTCTAGGCTTACTATTGACACAAGATTCTCTTCTTTCCTATGTCTCTGTCTCTCCCCCTCCCTCCTTTCTTCTATTGTTGACAAGGTCTTATTTTATAACCCAGTCTGCTTTCTAACTCATAACCATCCTCCACCTTCAACTTCAGAGTGCTGAAATTATCGGCACACACCATCGCGCTCAGCCACAAGCCCAATTCTTACCTAGAACTATGACAGAGTTTCAGATCTAGTCCCTGGACTCAGGAGTCTCAAAAGACTGCTCTAGCCAATATCCAATATACCAGTTAAACAATAAACTGAAGTTCCCAGAAAAAAAAAATAGCCACACCTATGTGAAAGTATCTACAAGGCCGAGCAACTAGGCCAAACGTCCTGATTGTACAAAGCTGGAATGCCGGGCTAGTTTCTGTCCCCATCATAACTACCCATTGCCTACTCCAAGTCTGACCTGACGTCCTCCTGACTGTCAGGTGATCTCTGGAAAACATTCTCAGCAGACTATCAGCTTCCAAAAGCTGTGGCCTTTTCCCTGCTCTGCTGGGACCCACCTGCCTGACGTCCCTGTCAGTTTGTTTGGTAAGCGCCTTGATTTATAACTCCTTCATCTGTGAAAAGCTCATGAAATCTCTTCCACATGGAAACACGTCATTCAGGACGCCCTGGACCCATTCTCTCAGGCCATGGCCACTCATCTTTGGCTAAGACTTCCTTTGGAAAAGAGGTCTGAGTTTTTGTGTTGATACGTCAGTACTTACAAAAACAGAGAAAAGAGATCTAATTAATCAATCACTGTGGTCACACTGGACAGGAAAGACAGAGAGAGATTCAGTGGCCCTGGGTCCTCCCTATTTAGGGCACTGAGATGAACTTTAGGTTTAGACAGTGGAGTAATTATGGCAGGGGGAGAGTGGTACCTATCTACGCAGGGGTGGCCAAGCCGTACGCGGTCTGGTTACCAAAGTTCTAGTCCTGTTTGACTTCCCAAGGCATTGTTTTCCACTTGAAGGAAAGCAGGTTGATTCCCACAGAGACCATCAGTCCTGCTCCAGGCTGGAGCCTCACCTTGATAGATTAATACCCTCACTTGGGAGCCTTTCATTGCTTGTGTGGTAGTTTCAACCCTTGTCATAGAGGTGTCTGTTGGTCTTGTGGCTCTTGGAATCTAAGGTGAATGCAGGTCTAGGACAATGACTTGAGATATTTAGTTCTTTTTTGGACATCTGGAGCAGATCAGTGTAAAAGCTGATAGTAACACCCAGGCAAGGATAAAGGTAGGAAGAGACTCTTTTTTTTTTTTTTTTTTTTGGTTTTTCGAGACAGGGTTTCTCTGTAGCTTTGGAGCCTGACCTGGAACTAGCTCTTGAAGGCCAGGCTGGCCTCGAACTCACAGAGACCCGCCTGCCTCTGCCTCCCGAGTGCTAGAAAAGTCTGATCTTGAAGGGTTTTAAGCAGACATTATCAGATTTTCCTTTAAGGGTGGGGTTGGAGGGCTGGCATTAAAGGCGTACGCCGCCACCGCCACCGCCACCACCACCACCTTTGACTCCCTTTGACTATCAGACTTTTGAAACAATGGACATTTGCCCAGGAGTCTCATGCTGAGAGAACGAAAAGCCAGAAGTCTGATACTAGCCAGGGGAGGACTTGTCTCTTGGTAAGAGAGCTTTCAATTATTTCCTGTCAGACCACCTTGCAGGAGAGATTGAAAGGGAGACAGGGATAGGTCACTGGCGGCTGAGACCATAACTTGACCAGGACGACTTGTTTAAAGACACCTCTCATCCCCTATTTAAAGCTTGAACTTTATATAAGGACTAAAGAACACCCCAAGGGATGTGCTGGTTAGTGCTAATTGTTGCCTTCGTAGGATCTGGAATTGCCTAGCCTCTGGACACATCTGTAAGGGCATGCCTGTAGGGAGGACCTTGATTAGGTCCCTACCATGGGGATAACCACTCATGCTGCCTGGCACCATTCCCTGGGACGGAATCCCGGGCTGTATAAAAGGGAGACAGCGAGCTAAGCACAAACGCGTGCTGCTTTCTGCTTCGCAGTTGTGGATGCGACACGACCGGCTGCTTCACGCCCTGCTGCCTCAACTCCCCAGTTGTTACTAGTGAGTACTCTCCAGCAGCAGCAAAATAAACCCTTTGTCCTCTGAGTTGCTTTTGCGGGGGTCCTTTATCAGAGCAGCAGGTAAAGAAACTAAGACAAGGGACCATTGGGCCTCTTTATCTGTTCTTCTCGATGAGGCCACATGCGTTTACCGTTCCATGTCTGCATATCTGACTATTTATGGGTAGCCCAGCTGGGTTTATTGGGTATCTAAGGCCTCATGATGACTAAAGAAAACAGATGCAAAATGAAGGCAGAAGCGACTGACTTTTAGCCATTTCTGAAACAGGTACTTAAAGGTTGCTTCTTTTAAGCATTGTCTCCTGGCTTGAACCCAAAAGGCAGCTAAAGGCAAAGTGACATTTCTGCCTTCCTTTTGTATCTTTAATTGGCTGAAGGCATGGAAATAAATAATTGTCCTAAGTCAGCAGTCACTTTGGGTTCCAGGAATAGCAAAGCCCATCAGAACAGGCCACCTCCCACTCCCCATAGAGGGCCGTTATCCTGGAGCAGGAGGATGTCCTCTAGAGCAGAAGCAATCCCTCTCTGAGAGCCACCTTCAAGCACTAAGGACTTCTCAGGACCACCTTCCAGGGTGAGAGCTCAGGCCACCCGTGATGCATATGCCTGCACCTTGACCAGGATGCTTAGTTGTGCACATGCCTTGCTCTATGCTTATTCGTCCTCTAACGCTCATGCCATTGTCTTAAAGATGAACTCAGAGTCAGTGTGCCGACATGACCTGGATCGGGAGTTGGCTTGGTTCCCTAGTCTCTGTGATCACTATCACATGGTCTGGAGATGAGGCACATAAGAAAGTGGGGTAAAAGATAGTTACACACTTCCTACAAACAGAGCTGGCGCACTTTTCAGTCCAGGTGAGAGGACTAAACGGCCGAAGAGAACATTGTGTGATATACATTTCATTATTTCTAAGGCCTCTAAACCGGAAGAGCATTTTCCTGTCCAGATGACTGACTAGTTCACTTGGGTTAACTTGGAGAAGAGGGACAATGGTATGTCTTTGTTCTTTATTAGGAAGTCTCTGAATGGATAACAATCTTATCGTAGCCTTCTGGGCAGTTCAGAATACCATGTTTCCATGCAGAGTTAACCATACTTAATTTAGACCAGTAAGCAGAGCCCTGCGGTTTGACTTTCTGATTTCATAAGCTGCTGATATTGAGGGAGGGATCCATCCCCATGACCTTTAACCCTGCTAATATCTAAATAGCTACCCTTCAAGAACCGGGACCCTTTGATCACTTTTCAGGCTTGTCCAGCCTGCATCATACCTAATAGGAGACGGGTGTTGAGGCGGTCTGATTGTTTCTGGATGAAATAAGGTGGGAAAGATTTAGGGTCTTCATTCTTGCTAATTTGCAGACCTCAGATGATGATCAAAGGGACTAAGACAGATGAAGTTAAGCTGCCTTCTACCCTACTACTCAGCTAAGTACATAAAGTTCAAAGACTAATAGGATCAACCCATCTCAACCATGAAAACTGAGAGGTCATAGCCAGATGTGGTGGTTCCCCCCTCCCCTCCCCTCCTTTTCCCTCCCCTCCCCTCCCAGCTTCCTGGGCAGAAGAAACTGGGTATAAAAACTGATTTTGCTCTATGTAGTAGGCCATTGATGGGAGTCTCAAGTCCTAGTGACAGTTTTGGTGACTTCTTCCTGATTTCAGGAACAAGTTGAGTAGTTATTTGTCCCAGAAGCGTACACCTCTACAAACAAAGGAATCAGTAAGAGTGGGCATTTTTATGACCTCGAGTTGCTAGAGAAAGGCAGTAGGATCTTTATTAGGTCCCTGGTCAATAGTCGCCAGCTTGGCATGACTCACAAGCTGTTTTTCAGTCCCTTGAACTCACCGATATTGAAATGAAGGCATTCCTGGGCAATGGGGACACTAAGTGCGATAAGCCTTTTGTGGGACATCTACCATGGGCTACTTAAGCTCTATCATCTATAACTCATTGCACATTACCTCCTTTTAAATCATTAAAATTATCTCAGACACACAGATGAGGTCAAAGTTGCCTGTTGAGATGATGAATGTTTTCCTATAGGTTCTCAATGATAGAGATTAAAGACAATAAATAAAGTGTGCTTGCCTAGGGCCAAAACGATCTATAACCTTGAGTTTTTAGTATCTGATTCTCATTCTTAAATCTAAACAATACACTTCATAAATCCACCTTATAACACTGTAAAATAAAATTATGTTTCTTTCTCTCTCTCTTTCTCTGTCTCTCTTTCTGTGTGTGTGTGTGTGTGTGTGTGTGTGTGTGTGCATGTACCTGTGGAGGCCAGAAGTTAAGTTTTCTATCCACATTATTGTTGTTGTTCTAAGAAAAGGCCCCTCGCTGTACTTGGCACTCACTGATGGGCAGGAGGCTGGCTAGAGAGCTCCAGGAGGCCTCCTGTTTGCTCTTCCCTGCGCTGCCACTGCCGAGGTGACAGGTACACACTGCCTCTGGATCCAAACTCATACCCACGGAGCCCTTTTCCCAGTCTTACAAAGGAAAAGTCTTTAACCTTTATACCCCGCTGTAAATTACACCCTCTGAGAAAGTCACAGGATCACATACCGCAATTACAAAGATAATAAGGCACAGTTTTCCCTTAAGAAGCCCCCGCCCATGTGTGGGTGTGTCCTAGTCTCTCCCTGAGCATCTGGTTCTATTAATCCTTCCGTCTAAGGTGCACATTAAAGAGTCTGTTAACAAACCCTGGCTCTGCTACACACTGCATTCTCTGAAAGTCAAGAACCCCGGTCTTGCCTTAATGGACGTCTTTAAGGAGAGCAGGAATTCTCCAGGCTGTGGGTGACATTGGAAAGCTGTGCTGTGCTTCTGTCCTTGCCACCGCTTGTGGACAGACCACTAGAGATGGGTTAGAGGTGGGTTAAAGACAGTACTGTTAATCCCTTTAACCCAATGCAAGAAATGCTTTATCACAAGGCAAGAGGAATACATGAGAAACATTACAAGAGCATAGTCACCTTCCTTTTAAGAAAGACACGTAGGCCGGGTGGTGGTGGCGCAGGCCTTTAATCCCAGCACTCGGGAGGCAGAGACAGGCAGATCTCTGTGAGTTCGAGGCCAGCCTGGTCTACAAGAGCTAGTTCCAGGATAGGAACCAAAAAGCAATGGAGAAACCCTGTCTCGGAAAAAAAAAAAAAAAAGACACCTAGGTTAGGTTAGCAGGGATGCAGCAGGAGACGGGAGTATACAAGAGGATGTGACCCAAGGTGTATAATTCTGAAACTAAAGGAGATCCCATAGTCAAAGGAAGTTGCACATGTAGAGGAACAGGAAATTCCATGGACTAAACCCAAAGAAGGGAAGTCCCCACCTTATCCTGATGAAGATGAAGGAGTTATGACGGTAACCAAGCAGGAACACCAGATGTTAGATTATTTAAGGTAGCTGTAGAGAGACAGAAGGAGGACAGAAA